GGGGCGGGGCGATGGGGGCCCGGGTGGTTCTCACGGGTGAAGGGGGCCCGTGGGGCGGGGCGATCGGGGCCCGACCGGCACGGGGGGGGGTTCTCCCGGGTGGGGTCACTGAAGGAAGCCGGGGCGGCGCTCGGGGAGGGCCCCGCACTCACATGCACCGGAAGTTTCTCCTGCGCTGCGCCCCCGCCGGCCCGGCCCCCGCCCCATCTGGGGCCACTGCCCCCCCGGCCGCCTCCGCCTCCCCCCGCCGCCATGATGGGAGTCGGGCACCGGGCAGAAGCACCCGCCCAGAACCCCCTCGTCAGCGCGTTCCGAGCGCCTTACGTCACCACGCGCTGCACGGCTCCGCCGGGGCCGGTCGAAATGGGGCGGAACCTAGGGGAGGGGCCAGCGCTATCGGGGACGGAGCACAGGTTGGTCCGGACGATTTGTTCTGCTGCACCAACTTCCGGCCTTCCGAGGTAGCTTCCGGTGCTGGCTTTCAGCCTGGTAGCGTTCGCTTGTCGGCGCTGGCGCGCTCAGGTCAGCGGCAGCTTCGGCGAGAGAGCTGGGCTGAGGTACAGCGCGGCTCCGCACCCGGGACGGACGTGGGCAGGGCTCAGTAGAGACACTGCTGGGGCATAGCAGCGTCTGTGCCTGCGGTTGACGCCATGTCAGTGGTCACTATGGCAACGCTGCCTGTGCAGCATACTGAGGTGCGAGCCATGACAGCGCCAGTGTAGACAGGAATATTCCCAAGGGTCCAGCAGAGACTGGAAGCATGAGAGGGAAGACCATGAGCCGTGCCCTGCCTGGACAGCTGCAGCTGGTACGGCCCAGGGCGGCAGGACATTGCCTGGAATATAGCTACTGAGTGAGCGGGAGAGAGACTTACAGCAGAAGTGGTTGAAAGGAGTGAAAGGATATGAGTTTGCAAGGTGGAATGACTACAGAAAGGACAGGTCAGGGATGGGTTGCGTACAAGGCCTCATTGCTAAAAGAACAGCACAAGCATGTAGGGACAAAGGGTAAGTTACACCTTGCACCAAAACGAGTTACACCTTGCAAGGGACATAAAGGCAACAATAAGAGTTTATTTGAATACATTAGGAGAAAGATGAAGCCCTTTCACCTAAAATGTAAAAGATTGTGTAAGATTTTTTTTAAACTAAGGGCTAGGGAAAAGCTGACAGATGCCGGGGTGGGGGCACACTGGGTGGAGACATCCCTTATGGATGAATTTATTAAATGGGGAACTGTAGGTCCTAGTAAAGAAGATAGGAAAGAAATTGGTAAAGTACAGGTAGGAGCTAGTGAAAAACAGTCAAACATAAGAGTTCTATTTAAATATAACAGATGAAGGCAAGCATCTGAATATTGACAGAATGTACAAGTTCTTATGTACAAATGCTAGCAGTCTAAATATTAAGATGGGTGAACTAGAGTGCCTGGCATTAAATGAGGCTGTTGATATAGTAGGCATCATGGAAACTTGGTGGAATGAGGATAATCAATGGGACATGTTAATGCCATGAGGAAAAATATATAGGAATGAGACAGTAGGTTGTGCTGTGGTTCTATATGTGAAAGAAAGCATAAAGTCAAATAAAGTAAAAATCTTAAATGAATCAAATAGTACCTTAGCATCTCAATGGATAGAAATTCTATGCTTGAACTATAAGTGTATAGAAGTTTGAGTATACTACTGACCTCTAAACCAGGGTAGTGACAGCAATTCTGAACTGCTCAGGCAGATTAGAGAGGCTACAAAGGCAAAAAGTGCAATAATAATGGGGAATTTCAACTATCCTCATATTGACTGGGTATATGTCACATCGGGAAGGGATGTAGAGATAAAATTTCTAGACACATTAAATGACTGCTTTTTGGAGCAGCTTGTCCTGGAACCCACACTGGGAGAGGTAGTTCTTGATTTAGTCCTACACAAAATGCAGGATCTGGTCCAGGAGGTGAATATAGCTGAACCTCTCTGTAATTGCGACCATGATGTAATAAATGTAACATCCTCGTGGAAGAAAAAATGCCAGAGAAACTCACCACAGTAACATTTAACTTCAAATAGGAGAATTACACAAAAATTAGGAACTTAGTAAACGGAAATTAAAAGGAACAGTCACAAGTGTGACATACCTGCAAAGTGCATGGAAACTATTAAACACCAAAATAGAGGCTCAAATTAAATGTATACCCAAAATCAAAAAACAGTAAGAGGATGCTGCCATGGCTAAACGGCAGAGTAAAAGAGGCAGTCAGAGGCAAAAAAGGAATTTGTTAAAAATTGGAAGTCAAATTCTAGTGAGGAAAATAGAAAAAAAGCAAACTCTGGCAACTCAAGTGTAAAAGTATAATAAGGGGACCAAAAAGAATTTGCAAAAGATACACAAACTGACAGCAATTTTTTTTAAGTATATCAGAAGCAGAAAGGCTAAAGAGAACTAGATAAATTCATGGAGGTTACGTCCATTAATGGCTATTAGCCAGGATGGGTAAGGAATGGTGTCCCTAGCCTCTGTTTATCAGAGGGTGGAGATGGATGGCAGGAGAGAGATCACTTGATCATTACCTGTTAGGTTCACTCCCTCTGGGGCACCTGGCGCTGGCCACTGTCAACAGACAGGATACTGGGCTGGATGGACCTTTGGTCTGACCCAGTATGGCCATTCTTATGTTCTTAACTGGGACTGGACAATGGGGGATGAATCACTCAAAATTGCCCTGTTCTGTTCATTCTCTCAGAAGCATCTGGCACTGGCTACTGTTAGAAGACAGGCTACTGGGCTAGATGTACCATTGTTCTGACCCAGTATGGCCATTCTTTTGAAGGAAAATGTAGGTCCCCTACTTAGGGAGGAAGAGCTAATAACAGATGACATCTAGATGGGTGAGGTGTTGCCTGTTTTGCTTCAGTCTTCACTAAAAAGATAAGCTGACCAGAAACTAAACACAATACTAACAACAATGGGAAAGGAATGCAAACCAAAACAGGGAAACAACAGGTTAAAGAATATTTAGATAAGTCAAATGTACTCAAGTTGCCAGGACCTGATAAAATGTACCCTATGGTACTTAAGCAACTAGTTGAAGCAGTCTCAGAACCATTAGGACGGGTGGGGTCCCAGAGGTTTGGAGAAGGGCAAACATAGTACCTATCTTGAAAGAGGGGGAAAAAGAGGACCCAGGGAATTATAAACCAGTCAGCCTAACTTTGATCCCTGGCAAGATACTGGAATAAATTATTAAGCAATCAGTTTTTAAGCACCTAAAGGGTAATAAGGTAATACATAACAGCCAACATGGATTTGTCAAGAGCAAATCATGCCAAACTAATCGTATTGAAGAGGGATACTGCCCTAATGGGTGTGTGGGAAGCTGTAAATGTGATATATCTTGATTTTAGTTAGGTTTTTGACACAGTCCCATATAAGATTCTCATAAGCAACTAGGGAAATGTGCTCTAAATGAAATTACTATAAGGTGGGTGCACAACTGCTTGAAAGGCTGTACTCAAAGAGTAGTCAGCAATGGTTTGTTGTCAAAATGGGGATGTATCTAGTAGGGTCTCACAGGGGTCTGTCTTGGATCTGGTACTATTAAATATTTTCATTAATGACGTGGATAATGGAGTGGAGAGTATGCTGATAAAATTTGCAGGTGACACAAAACTCGGAGGGGTTGCTAGCACTCGGGAGGATGGGATCAGAATTCAAAAGGAGCCTGACAAATTGGAGAATTGGCCTGAAATCAACAAGATGAAAATCAATAAAGACAAATTGAAAGTACTACACTTAGGAATCAGAAATCAAATGCATAACTACAAAATGGGGAATAACTGACTATACCAGGGGTGGGCAAACATTTTTCCCCGAGGGCCATATTTGGGTATGGAAATTGTATGGCGGGCCATGAATTCTCACAAAATTGGGGGTTGGGGTGAGGGCTCCGGCTGGGGGCGTGGGCTCTGGGGTGCGGCCAGAAATGAGTTCAGGGTGCGGGAGGGGTCTCCAGGCTGGGACCGAAAGGTTCAGAGGGCGGGAGGGCGATCGGGGTGGGGCATGGGGTTGGGGCATGGGAGGGGGTCAGTGGTGCAGGCTCTAGGGTGCGCTTACCTCAAGCAACTCCCAGAAACAGCGGCATGTCCCCACTCCGACTCCTATTCAGAGGCGCAGCCAGGTAGTTCTGCGTGCTGCCCCATCTGCAGACATCACTCCTGCAGCTCCCATTGGCTGTGGTTCCTGGCCAATGGGAATTGTGGGGGTGGCACTTGGGGAGGGGCATTGTGTGGAGCCCCCTGGCTGCCCCTATGCGTAGGAGCCGATGGGGGGACATGCTGCTGCTTCTGGAAGCTGCTCAGAGCGAGGCAAACCCCTGACCCCGCTCACTGGCTGGAGCGGGGCAAGCCCCAGACTCCACTCTTCAGCAGGAGCTCGAGGGCCAGATTAAAATGTCTTGAAGGCCGGATGTGGCCTCCGGGCCATAGTTTGCCCACCCCTAGACTAGACAGTAACACTGCTGAAAAGGATCTGAGGGGATATGGCGAATCACAAATTGAATGAGTCAGTAATGTGATGCAATGGCTAATATCATTTCATGGTATATTTATAGGCATATCGTATCTAAGACACAGGAAATAATTGTCCCACTCTGCTTGACACTGGTGAGGCTTCAGCTGGGGTACTGTGTCCAGTTCTGGGTGCAATACTTTAAGAAAAATATGGAAAGTTATAGAGAGTCCAGAGGAGAGCAACAAAAATGATAAAAGGTTTAGGAAACCTGACCTATGATGGAAGGTTAAAAAAAAAACTGGGCATGTTTAGTCTTGAGAAAAGAAGGCGGGTGGAGGGGGGAGGGCTAGATAAGTCTTTAAATGTGTTAAGGGCTGTTATAAAGAGGACCGTGATCAATTGTTCTCCATGTCCACTGAATGTAAGATAAGAAATAATGGGCTTAATTTTCAGCAATGAAGATTTATGCTAGATATTAGGGAAAACTTTGTAACTATAATGGTAGCGAAGCACTGGAATAGTCTTCAAGGGAGGTTGTGGAATCCCTGTCATTGCCTAACCTGTTCTTAAAATCCTCCAAACACCTGTCAGGGATGATCTTGGTTTACTTAGTCCTACCTCAGTTTACGAGGGCTGGACTTAGATGATTCCTTCAGGTCCCTTCCAGATCTACGTGGAATGGGCAGGCTGAGTGCATTAAGGAATAAAGTTGCATCTTAAAATATTCCTTCCCATTGTTACTAATAAAACTGTAAATTAACAAAAAGAACAGGAGTACTTGTGGCACCTTAGAGACTAACAAATTTATTTCAGCATAAGCTTTCGTGGGCTACAGCTCACTTCTTCAGATGCATAGAGTGAAACACACAGACAGAAGATATTTATACATACAGAGAACATGAAAAGGTGGATGAATGCATACCAATTGTAAGAGGCCAATCAATTGAGATGAGCTATCAGTAGCAGCAAAAGAAAAAACTTTGAAGTGATAATCGAGATGACCCATGGAAGGTGTGAGGAGAACTTAACATGGGGGAAAAAAATTCAATTAGTGTAATGACCCAACCATTCCCAGTCTCTGTTTAGACCTAAGTTAATTGAGTCTAATTTGCATATTAATTCGAGTTCAGCAGTCTCTCTTTGGAGTGTTTCAGAGTAGCAGCCGTGTTAGTCTGTATCCGCAAAAAGAAGAACAGGAGGACTTGTGGCACCTTAGAGACTAACAAATTTATTAGAGCATAAGCTTTCGTGGACTATAGCCCACTTCTTCATATGTTCCATTCTATATGCATCCGAAGAAGTGGGCTATAGTCCACGAAAGCTTATTCTCTTTGGAGTCTGTTTTTGATGTTTTTTTGTTGCAAAACTGACACCTTCAAGTCTGTCACTGAGTGATTAGCGAGGTTGAAGTGTTCTCCCACTGGTTTTTGAATGTTATGATTCCTGATGTCAGATTTGTGTCCATTTATTCTTTTGCGTAGAGACTGCCCAGTTTGGCCAATGTA